ATTAAATTCTTTTATACATTTTATTTATCCCAAAATTCCCTTTATCCATAAATTTTCTTTATCCCAAAATTCCCTTTATCCATAAATTTTATTTATCCCAAAATTCCCTTTATCCATAATTTTAATCCCAAAAATTCTCTTTCTCCAAGAATTCTCTTTATCCATAAATCCTATTTTTCCTTAATTTTCTTTATCCCAAAAATTCTCTTTATCCCTAAATTATTATTTATCCATAAATTATCCCAAAATTCTCTTTATCCCTAAATTCTCTTTTTCCCTAAATCACATTTTTTTCCCCCAAAATCACATTTTTTCCCCTAATTAACGTTATCCCTAATTATCTTTCTCCCTAAATTATCTTTTTATTTAAATTACCTTTATCCCTAAATCACATTTTTCCCCTAAATTATTCCTAAATTACGGGGTTTTTCCCTAAATTAATTATTTTCCCCTAAATTAAGGTTTTTTTCCCCAAAAATTAAGATTTTTCCCCCCAAAATTAACTTTTTTCCCCCTAAATTAACTTTTTTTCCCCAAAATTAAGATTTTTATTCCCTAAATTAACTTTATTCCCCAAAAATTAACTTTTTCCCTAAATTAAGATTTTTATTACCTAAATTAACTTTTTTCCCCAAAAATTAAGATTTTTCCCCCCTAAATTAACTTTTTTCCCAAAAAATTTAGTTTTTCCCCCCAAAATTAACTTTTTTCCCCAAAAATTAACTTTTTTCCCCAAAATTAAGATTTTTATTCCCTAAATTAACTTTTTTTTCCCCAAAATTAAGTTTTTCCCCCTAAATTAACTTTTTTTCCCCAAAATTAACTTTTTTTCCCTAAATTAATATTTTTATTCCCTAAATTAACTTTTTTCCCCCAAAATTAACTTTTTTCCCCCCAAAATTAACTTTTTTCCCCCCAAAATTAAGGTTTTTTTCCCAAAATGAAATTTTTTATTCCCAAAATTAAGTTTTTTTCCCCAAAAATTAATTTATTTTCCCCCTAAATCCCATTTTTTCCCCAAAATTAAGTTTTTTATTCCTAAAATTAAGGTTTTCTTTCCCCTAAATCACTTTTTTTTTCCTAAATCACATTTTTTTCCCCAAAATTAAAGTTTTTTTCCCCAAAATTAAAGTTTTTTTCCCCAAAATTAAAGTTTTTTTCCCCAAAATTAAAGTTTTTTTCCCCAAAATTAAAGTTTTTTTCCCCAAAATTAAAGTTTTTTTCCCCAAAATTAAGTTTTTTTCCCAAAAAATTGAGTTTTTTTTTCCTAAATCACATTTTTTTCCCCAAAAATTAAGGTTTTTATTCCCTAAATTAACTTTTTTTCCCCTAAATTAACTTTTTTTCCCCAAAATTAAGATTTTTTTCCCCAAAAATTAAGTTTTTTTACCCAAAAATTGTTTTTTTTTCCCCAAAAATTGAGTTTTTTTTTCCTAAATTAATTTTTCCCTAAATCCCATTTTTTCCCCTAAATTAAAGTGGTTTTTTATTCCCTAAATTAAGTTTTTTAATCCTTAAATTAACTTTTTATTCCCTAAATTAAGTTTTTTTCCCCAAAATTCAGTTTTTTCCCCCAAAATTCAGTTTTTTCCCCCCAATTTCAAAAATTCAGTTTTATCCCCCCAAAATTCAGTTTTTTCTCCCTAAATCAACTCTTTATTCCCCAAAAATTAAATTTTTTATTCCCCAAATTAAGTTTTTTTCCCCTAAATTAACTTTTTTCCCCTAAATTAAGTTTTTTTAATCCTTAAATCCCATTTTATCCCCAAAAAATTTAAGTTTTTTTCCCTAAATCCCATTTTTTTCCCCTAAATTCCGTTTTTTTCC